CGATCTCGCGGTCCGTGAGTTCGAGCCCCGCATCGGGCTCTGGGCTGATGGCTCAGAGCCTGGAGCCTGCTTCCGATTCTGTCTCCCTGTCTCTCTGCCCCTCCCCCATTCATGCTCTGTCTCTCTCTGTCTCAAAAATAAATACACGTTAAAAAAAAAAAAAAGAAACCGTACCCCTCTTTACATTCCTCTACCATCTATTGTTCACTTACCTTAAAATTGTTCTCTGCATACATTTAGAACTGCATAAGGCAGTTGTTATAATTTTTGCTCACATTGAAAACCTGATTCTGAAAACTTAAGAGGAGAAGGGAAAATGTAAGGGTGAGCATGTAGGCGGAAAACCAGTACCATCTTGAGATGATATATTCCACTGCTTCTCATACTTTGCATGATCACAGGGCCACCGGGCCAGCAGAGTCACATCTAGAGGAGAAATGAGACTGACAGTTGTCTGAGAAGAGCAGGATCAGAGTTAAGAGGTCTGTTTTTCAAAGAGTGAGAGACCTAAGTTTGCTTTTTAAAAGAAAGCTTTCCCCGCCCCCCCTTCCATTCTGGGTCGTCATGATTAAAAAACAGTCAGAATAGGCTTTTCTGGACAAAGTTATGTTAGGAGGGTAATGGATTTTCAGTTGGACAATGAATGCTACAGTCATTATTTTTAGGTAAGTCCATTACAATGATATATTGACCAGTGAGTTAATCAAAGACCGTATGTAAACATGAATACTACAGAGCAATACGGTTCCTGCCTCGTATATATTTGTTTATTTGTTCAACATTTATTCAGTGTCTGTGAAGACCTCTTTTCAAAAAAGGTGACTCTTCAAAGATCGTTCAGGGGCGCCTGGGTGGCTCGGTCGGTTAAGCGTCCGACTTCGGCTCAGGTCGTGATCTCACGGTCCGTGAGTTTGAGCCCCGCGTCGGGCTCTGGGCTGACAGCTCAGAGCCTGGAGCCAGCTTCGGATTCTGTGTCTCCCTCTCTCTCTGACCCTCCCCCGTTCATGCTCTGTCTCTCTCTGTCTCAAAAATAAATAAACATTAAAAAAAAA